ATACACATCGTGTTTAACAGCAAAATTTGGCAAGTCGTGTCACCGCATAATTGCGTATACCACAAAATGTTTTATATACGAAAAAACCACTAAACTAATTGAGTTTCTTTTTTCCAGGTTTTCAGATAAGACGTTTAGCCATTTTGACACGATTTGTTGTAAGAATCTCTGAAAAATCCTTCGAGTTATTCAGCTGGAAAAAGAACAGGTTAAAATCGTTTTGCGTCAGAACGACTGTCTTTCCAAATCAGCAATGATGAGAGGAAAAAGAACATTCAGGCTTTTAGTAATGGTACCAACATACATACTCTCCCTTCCATCTCCAAAGTCCATTCAAGAACTATCAAGAGAATGGTGAATTAATTTTAAAAAGAGGGAACAGTAGAGAGGAAAACTGGATCAGGAGGTCACAAGAGGCGGAGGGATCATCATTTCAACTTAGAGCTATCCAACTCAATCCATAAGACGTTTGGCAGATGAGTTTCAGCTATGACAGTCCAAAACGCGGTGAAAACGACTTGAAAATGAAATCGTAGACAAAAAATTTGAGTCACCTTGTTACTCCAGAACAGAACGTTAGAAGGTTAGAGAATGCGAAGATCATCTTGAATAAATTGCAAAAATATCTTGAAATAATATATATATATACGTACACACACACACATATATATATATATATATATATATATATATATATATATATATATATATATATATATATATATATATATATATATAGTTAGAAAGTTTAAACCTACCTAGGTTTCACCTAAACGGATCATCAGTCAAACTTTCCTGACGATCCGTTTAGGTGAAACCTAAACAGGTTTGTCTAACTAAATGTATCTAAAGGTGCTCTACGGTTGTATTGAGCTCTTTTTGTTAGTTAGTTGTTTACTCGTATCGGGGTTTTGTCTTTGGGCTTCAGACCTGCATCTGTGCGATTTTTTTTGTCGGCAGAAGTCCATGTTTGTAGCTCTTTCTTTTTTAAAACCTTTTTTCCCTCGAGATTGATTTGATTAGCAAATAAAAATTCGAGGTTTTTCAAACAGTCTAGTTATCTATATTTATATATATATATATATATATATATATATATATATATATATATATATATATATATTTGAACTTTATTTCAATCTTTCATAAGCTTCCAATTCTTAGCTATGATATATTACTGATGAACAAATCATTTTTGCTTATGATCGATTTCAGCACAATTTCTTTTTCTGTTAAGCTTGGACAATAAATATATATTTCTTATTGCTCAAAGTACAGTTCAATCGTGTTATTAAAAGGTTGAAGAATTCCAGTAAGATATCTTTAATCATTTCTAACATACAACTTTTCAGAGCATAATCTAACAAATGGACAATTTTGCTTTTACAGGATTTGGAGGATTTTACTTATATATATATATATATATATATATATATATATATATATATATATATATATATATATATGTTAATTTAATTTTTCTTGTGCTCTCATTTGTTCCTTTGCTGGTCATAAATTATGGAAAATTTGTTCGAATGTTTTGTATGTGCCAACGCTTTTGGCCATACATGTAGACATTATCAATAAAAGAATAGGTGTAAGCGCTCGTACATACAGAATATTCGAATAATATCTACGTAATTTATGTCCAGGAAAGAAAAAAAAATTATCAGAACACAAGAAAAACTTAATAAAAAAAATTTAACCGCATGTTAATTTTTTTAACGAAATGTTAATTTTTTCCGAGTACTTTCGACATTTTTCCAACATCAATGATGGATATATATATTTTAAATTTTGCTGCCAAAATATACGCAATATATTTATATATATTTATATAATATCATATATATATATATATATAGAATGGATAAGACAATCGGTTTCAATTTTAAATCTTTTAGTCTGAAAATCATGCTGTAAAAAGTCATATCCATTCACCTAAATATATATATTTATATATATATAAGCATATATATATATATATATATATATATATATATATATATATAATGGACTTTAAAAAGAATTATAACATTTTTGTAATTGCGATAGAAATAATTTTTAAAAGAGCGAGAAAAGTAAATCATAGTTTTTCTACAATTGAAATTTTATTTAAGTTTCCACATGTCCTTCATCATTAGCAATACTTTATTACGATTTTCAGTTCACGAAAAATATTTGCCAACTGATTTACAGTAATGCCTGAAATCGCATTGTAGTTATTTTAGCTATAATTAAAACTAGATTAAACGTTAAAAATTTTTGTCATCGCAAATCCATTTAATAAATGAATTTGACCACAAACAGAGCAGTAGATTATAATCATTCCGAAGTGATGTCACCCCTTTCCATTAATGTATTAGCTGCAAGTATGAAGGAGTTTTTTGTTTTTTTATTTCAATGGGAAAATAGATTGCATTTCACTAAAGCAAATATATATATATATATATATATATATATATATATACATAAGTATGTTATAAAATCACTACAAAATAGCCATTTTGTTTCAACACACTCTGTAATGTCTTATCAAGTGATGGTGTTGAAAAAGAAATGATTTTAAGTTTCATATATCCTACACTATTGTTATATAATAACCAATCAAAACCGAAGTATAAGATTCAAAGGGTCCTGCTATTATAGCTATTTAAATAATTCTTAAAAATAATTTTACTAACTAATTAAAAATTAAAAATTTAATATTAAAATTTGTTTAAAATCAAATTTAATCACTATTAAGTTTAAAACTACAAAATTATTGAAAAAGAAAAAATATATATATTTTTATTCAAAAGAAATTACGTCTGACAAGAAAAAAGCTAAATTCGTCCGGTCATCTGATATGTTATTTTTCTTTTCCGTTTTATTTTTAAATTTTATTTTAAACTCACGTTTCACAACAAAAAAACACAATCAGTCATACGCATCCAGACATTCATACATTACACACACACACACACACAATACCAAATAGGAAGAGGTTAATACAACTCCACAGATTTTTCAAAAAAGTTCACGAAAACACACAGTTTGCCAACTACATAGACACCGATATATACACAAACATATCCCACAATGGCATAGTTGGAAAATGCCTTAAATAAAATAACCACTTATTGAATTATATAACCCAAAACAAATATATAAAGTTAAAATTTTATTTAATATATTAAAACGAAAACTCTAAAACAATAATTCAATAAAAATATTAAACGTTAAGTTGATAAATTTTTTTATATTTGGCAAGAAAAAAACAGGATAAAAGAAATCTATACATATATATATAAATATATATATAATATAAATATAATTTTAACACACATAAAAAAAAAAAAATATTTGTACAGATATACAGGAAATAGATTAAATAATAAACATAAACATTACGTACATATACATTTTCTATGATAACAAGTACATTGTACGTACATATATATTTATATAAACCTAATGTATATAGACTGCAATGCACATACTTAGATATAAGGTCATGATTTTTTTTTTTTATTTCATACAATAATAGGTTCAAAACACCTATATTATACATACACAAACATACATAAATATATATACACATTACATATCTACAATTAAACATATATATATATATATATATATATATATATATATATATATATATATATATATATATATATATATATATATATATATATATATATATATATATATATATATATTGCAGCCTGAAAATTCATGGCTGCCTAAAGCACAAACTAAATTACTGAATCAATTTTTTCGTTTTTTTTTTCTTTGCTACGTCCTTCACGAGACGTGGGTGATCATCACTCGATCGTCGCTCTAAATAACATTTGTCTCTTTACTCTTCTTTTCATCTCCATTCTGCCTTCCATTTACACAAGCTCGTTAGCTAGGGGACTCGACGTTTCGGTGGAGTAATGAATAGTGCCTCGGATTGGAGAATCGGAGAGCCGAGTTCGAATTCCAGTCGAATCCATTACATTCACTTAAATGCTAATACACTTGGGAAAGGTATGAATCCTCTTCTTTTGCTCCCCAGCTATGGATAAATACAGGGTTCTGTAGCCTTGGATGGCAACTGGTCTACCGCAGAAAGAAATGACAAACTACTACGGGAAAAAAATCTGCCTCGTCAGTCATGTATCGAAAGATACATGATCGCCTAAGCGTGTATCACGCATGGAGCATAACTGACTGACTAGTTTTATCTAGGGATAGCGTTGTAAGTGTTCACAAAAAACTAAACGATTTTTGTTCATAATTATAAAATCCCCCCCCAAAAAAAATATCCTGCTAGCGACTGATAAAAAAAATCAACGAATAATTAATTTTATTGTTCTTGGTATTTTTTTTTTTATCTGATTTATATTTAAAAAAATGTTATTAAGTCTGAAAAATTATTTGAATGTTAATGTCCGTCCTAAAAACTATAGAAAATGTTCGTTGCTTGCGGGGATATTTATATCTTATCTAGGAATAGGATCCAATTATTCCCAGTTAGCCTCCTGTTAATAATTTTATGCGTGTTCTTTTTTGAATATATTTTTTCGAGTAGCGTATATTAAAGTACGATTTTAATACTCATAATCCTATATCCGCAACCAAAATTTACAATCGCCAAACATTTTCTGTTCAGCTGCTCTTCGCCCTCCCAACAGCTGAAATCTCCCACCGGTGGGCGGTATCTCCCAGATTGGGAAACCCTGGTCTATGGGAGAGGCGAGAAGGGTTAGAAAGAATGCATGGCACGAGACCGTGTTAACGCTTTTGAAGTGAGGACATTTCATTATTAAAAATTAATATTTATTAGTTATTATTTATTAATTAATTTTATTCATTGATTTGTTATCTACGGCTTACCAACCATTTGACAGTTTTTTGGGGTTTTGTTTTTTTTTACCGCCAGACTGCAATACAAAATTAATGCAATTATTACATAATTGGAAGTAGATTAGGTTGATTCGTACCTTTCCAAGCGTAAATGTGCGCTGAAACACCCTTGAAACACCGATTCTCATACGATCACCGAAGTTAAGCAACGTTGAGCCTGGTCAGTACCGAGATGGGTGACCGCTTGGGAATACTGTGCTGTAATCTTGGGTGTGAGGGTGATGTAATAAGAGCTTAGAATTGTGAATCATAAAGCCGAGTTCTAATTCCAGTTTGGGCTCGTTATATTCACTTACGTGCAATACCATTGGTATTTGAGGATACCCGCCTACTAGGGCGGCTATCTCACCCCTACTGCAGACGTTAACTCAAGCGCATTTTGTGTCTGTTCAACACCCAGAGAGCCTACCTGTGGTTTATACTGCAAGTATGCTGAGCTTAGAGTTTCTAGAAAAAAAGCGTGTTATCTAGCGTGATCAACAATCTGAACAAGGTCAGCACACTCACATCCTCAGTCATGATGACTTGTGATTACATGCTAGCACAGCCATCGTCGGTCCTCAAGGGTTCTGTCTACACAATTTAAACCCGTGGTATAGTTTTCAGGCACTTTTCAAATGTGTTGCACGGCGGGATTCCCTCCTCCAGACCTATAACATCAAATTACCTTCCTGACAAATCGATCAAGGTGGTATTTGAATCTGCGTCTCATGGTCAGAAAGCGAACGTTCTAACCACTCAGCCATTCGCAATTACCCTTGGGAAAAGTATAAATCCACTTCTTCCCCCAACTATGGGTTAATTAATAGGGTGTTTCAGCAAACTATTATTGTCTCAATCAATTTCTTTCTCTTTATATATTTTTTCTCGTTATAAAAATCCATTGTTAACGATGCTGGGCAAATGGTCGGCTCATTTTGCCACTACCGGAAGTGCCTTACTCCTTCCGCCCTGCTTTATTTTACAAAAGTCAGTTTAGATCAAAAATTGATTAGGTAGGTTGACATTCGTTTATCTCGCCAGATAAAGGTAGCGCCTCGTTTCGTCAAAATTCTGCCCTTTGATGGTGAAACTGTAGTGACGTCTCCAGAACGCAGCTCTGATCGATGGTATGTGGAAGCCGTGCGCTACCCAGACTACATGGCCCTACTCTTGGCCGTATCGACGAGATCTAAAAGAATACAAGGTGTTACATTTGGGGGCGGTTTGACGGCAGGAGTTACCGGAGAGTTGTCAGTGTTTTCATCCAACCTCCTTCGGGGTTACATTTCGGGTTTTCTCTCTGGAATTACTTCCATAGCTTTATCCGTGTTTTGGATATAACCGCAATGCAACGAAAGTTTACAATCAGTTTTTTTTCTTCTGCTAGATGAATTGCCTCCCTGGGCTGTCGAGCTCTATTTATCCGAAGCAGCAGGTTATGAGCCCGTAGTTTTCTGCCTTTGCCTATTTTCCGGCTTCGAGTTGTCAGAGGCTATTTGAGACGCATGTCACATAAACATTTTATAGACAGTGGGAGTTTGGCTCCATTGTTACCCCTTGAAACACCGGCCTCTATATTAAAAAATTACTTAAAAGAGGCCGTTTGACCAACACAAGGACTGACCAAAATCACTATAGTGATTCTTGAAAAATCACTGTAGTGATTCTTGAAAAATAAAGCATTGCAATCTCTGAGATAGAGAGCTCCAGGTTTCATAAAGTTTAAAATAATTTCTGCAGTCTTGTAAAAAAGGATATTCTCCATTCTTCAGCCTCTTTTCCACAGACCCAACGTTGTAATAATATCGCCACTCTATCAGTATTTCCATCGAAAACAGATGAACTCCGATATCTAGCTTTACATTCTACATCCACGGAATCGAATAAACCTAATTTACTCCGTAAGCAGATATATTTACACAGACATCTTATTTTCCAAAATACTTCTACTTTGTGATGGAGAATTCACTGTGGATACAGGTTTGTAAATACAATCGTAACCTCAAGTCAAGGAACAATGTCCAATTCCTACTATTAACTTTTTCACGTATATCCCACACCCCATTTATCATAAGTATTTTAACAGTAACCTTCCATTATGAGAGGTTACCCCGTCCTGCATATGCTGACAAACTATAACTAGTACCAAGGCCTCTGCTCAGGAGATGGCAGATTTGAGGAGAGTAGAACCACCACTTAACTACTGTTGATCCCAGGTCTACTTTGACCTGGAGTGGTATCATTTGATAGGGTCATAGATATGGGCAAACAAAGCGTTAAACAAAAGTCGACATTACATTTTTATAATAAAATGACCAATACATTTTTATCATAAAACTAGCAGTAGAACCTTGTCTCTGACCGTATCTTTCCTTACTGGGAATTTTTACCGTTCAATTGGAACTGCTTAAGTTTAAAATCAGCCAACCCGAAAATCAATATTAGTAGCAACATTTGAGTGCAACTGAGACACATCCCCAAATGGGGGGGGGGTAACAATTTGAATTTGAATTGGGCGGGTAGCCCTGAAAAGGGAACTGTGTTGTAATAAATAATATTATTTTAATAATTTAAAGTATTTATTTTTATCAAACTTTTTTATGAAAGATATATATCCACGAACAGATAGTAAATAGTAAACCGTTGCTGAGAGTTATAATGAACAGGAAGTAGTGGAGAGCCATTGTCCCCAAAAATTTGGACTCAAAACCGGCACTGAATAAGTATCTATCAAACAAAAAAAATTCATCAAAATCGGATGAAAACTGTGGAAATGCATAAATAATATACGATCACACACACACAGATATACACACATACACATACATATAAACACACATATACACACACATATACACACACATATACACATACATATACACACATACACACACATATACACACATACACACACATATACACACACATACACACATATACACATTCATACACACACATATACAAACACATACACACAGACACATACACACATGTACACACATATAAACACATACATATACACACACATTTTGAGAATTATAGATATATACATAAAAAATGAATGCAACACTAGAAGAAAAATAAAAATACATTTTTGTGATAAAATTACAAAAAATATTTTTTATTATCTATCAACTATGTAGCTAAAAAACATATCTTTATCCCGAAAGGATAAAGTTACGCAAAAAAATATTTAGATTTCGGTTTGAAATAACCAAGAGAAATTGATATACTGTTAAATAAAATCAACTAACCAAGTAGTTATCAAAGCCATGTTTACGTTGAATTTTATTATAAAATATTAACTTTATAAATAGTTGAACACTATTTGTGTATCTGTGTGCCTTGTGTCTGTTTATATATATATATATATATATATATATATATATATATATATATATATGAATGCGTTTTCTTTTTCTTTTCGTTTCATATCAAACATTTCAAACTTTATTCAGCTGTTTGTTTGTTCTTTCTCATGACGGGAATCGAACGAAGACTTAAGAAGCTTCCGTGACTCAAAGACGGGAAATGAAACTAGAAGTTAAAATGGGAAAAGTCGACATATCTTTCCGTTGCATCTTTTACTGGTCGGAAATAACACTGAATCGAAAACTTATGTATAAACTGTACGGGAGGAAGTATTCTTTCTTGTTCATAAATTCGTAAGGAATCATTTCACCTTTTATATGATGCGTGATACTGTTTAATTTTGGGATTTTCATTCCTAAAGAAGATTCTGCAATATCTTTGTTCCTGACCAGACATATTGGTTTCAATCACTTTCCGACCGCTCTAATGTAGCTTTCTTCTATAAATATTTCCATGATAATTGTTCTGATGAGCTTTCTCTCCTTTCGTACCTAGACTTTATGAATTTAAACGCAGTACTAGATTGACGGCAAGGTCTCGTTATTTTATAATTGAAATGGCTAGATGCAACCGTAAGTTCTATGATAAGTTAATTTCAACACACTTCTTGGGTTTACGTACATATCACTTTGGAACAACGGATCTCTCACAATGTCCGAAGTTAATGATTGTCAAGCCAGGATGGCTTACCGCTTGGGAATAGCAGATGAATAACAATTGGATTTACAAGTGGTTTAATGAATAAATGGCTCGGAATTGTTTGTCAGAGGCGCCGAGTTTGGTTCGTTATATTCACTTACGGACAAATATCCTTGGAAAAGGATGGATCCCTGTTATGTGACCTTACCCATAATAACATAATGGACTATTCCATACGTAATAAATACTGCGCCTCAAGAGGAAGCAGGGAGTTCAGTCTGAAGTCGGGCGACCGGCTGATCGGTTGAACTCTCTGCCTTTGGAAGGGGAGGAACCCGAACGAGGCTACGCCGAAGAGCGGAGTCTCTTTCGGGGATGTAAACCGACCCTGAACCCGTTTATACGGGTTCAATGGGCATATTTTTTGGCCGAGCCCACGAGTTCGGAGATCCCACGTTAAACCGGCCTTGTGCCACATGATGCCCTCGTGTGGGGGGGTGACTAAATACCGTTCATTCGGAAGTCTGGAGTGAAGTCCGTCTGGAGTGAAGTCCGTCAGGAGGCTATCAGTCAGTCAGAGCGAGCCAGTCAGTCTTGTCAGTTTTGTCAGACAAGACATTGGAATAGTGATACTCGTCAAGACTACATTGTTCTCCCTACTAAACCTGATTGTTCGTACTAACACTTTCTACTTCTCTGCATATATTTCTGTTTGTAATATATCTGTGTTATTCCATATCCGTATTCGAGTTCTTCTTTATTGGTTCTACCGTGGTACAAGGAACCGGGCCATAACAATCCCCTATCTCTCTCCCCTCCCAGATATGAGTTAATTAGTTGAAGTTATATCATTAAATCATTATTATCCCGCAAAATTCTTATAATCCAAAAATATTTTCTGGCATTAAATAACCTGCAAAATGTTTATAAGCCGTAAAAAACGAATCGATCAATTAATCACTTAATGGATAGTACTGTCTTTCGGCTTCTTTGTCAGTCCAGATTTGAACTTGATAAAAAAAAAAATCAAACGTTATCTTCTGTCTCCTGTTCTTTTATTGTTCTCAGGCTTTAATAATGATTTTTCTTTTAATTATATTCTTTCCCCCTCAGTAACCTCCTTGCGCCATAGTGGCTTTGTTGCCTTGCTCAGAATTAATGATTACCATATATATATATATATATATATATATATATATATATATATAAT